GCCACTACGACTGAAAGGGCAAGCATGTTTGGTGTGACGGGGATTTGAACCCGCAACCTGCACGATGCAAGTCGAGCGCTCTAACCACCTGGCCATACCGGTCAAACGCGAGCAGCTAAAGACATAGATAGATGACGAATTGGGTGCAAAGAAATTCTGTGCAGATAGCAACCTTCCATGGATAAGTTAGAATATACCAGTTGTATGAGGTGACAAACCTAACCAGTGAGTACAATAGGGGACATATCATGGGTCATAGAAGGAATAGACAAGAATGATAACATGAAATGAGGCAGTACAAGCCACATAACATCTCAGGGAATAAATCAGACAAAAAGTCTATACGGAACCAAATGGTGGGAAATGGAAAGTAAGGAAATAAAAGAGAAGGCCAAACCACCTGCCAAGGCAGCAGATGTCTAGAGAAGGAAGGCCCAATAAGGATAAAAGATAACATAAGAGGAATTGTAAAGGATGCTGAATGTCAGAATGATGACAACTGCAAGCAAGGAGGAGGAAGAGAACTTAAGGGAAAGATGGTACAAAGAACATGCAGCAATGGGTTCAAATGGAGAACTTGACAGGATATGAAGGACAAAATTAATATCCAATATGACAAAACAAAGGGATTTGGAAAACAGACAACATAAAAGGAACAGAAAAGGAGGTAAATAACAAGGGAGGAGAAAGCTTTCTGGAAATGGGACAATTGGACATGTTTGTCAGGACAGACCTATAACTAGAAACAGTTGACACAGACTAACCCTGATCAAACAACCATGTGAAAAACTGAGAAAGATGAGGTAATGAAGGATGGGAGGGGCAGAAGCCATGGCGAATGTACCAAGGTCTGAAGATAGACCACCGGCTCTAATACACAGACAAGGAGGAAGGTTGAATGGAATGGGAAAGGAAAGATGCTATATGAGGGGTGAGTCCCCAAACTGAGGCAAGGAAACAGACAAAAGCCACACATGAAGATGAAGTTTGCTGATGTCAGAATGAACTATGTCCAATTGTGGGTGTCAGAGGAGGGACTGGGACAGAGGTAAGGGCAGGGGATGCCACTCCAGTATGGGCCAGAGCAGAAGGAACCACGTCTGAAGCAACGAGCAGGATATGACAAGGAGTGGTCTGGATAAGGGAAAAGACTTTAGAGAAAAGTCTGATCGGAGGGTTGGCACATAGGTGAAGATTCCTCTAATCCTGACTGAATGCATCTACTCCCAGAGTTGAAGGGTGTGGAACCAGAGATTAAATGGAAGGAATTTTGGCATTCCAGTGAGTAGCAAACTCACCCACCAAAATACCCATGGATGAAGGGACCACACTGTGGGGAGAACCTGGTTTTGTTAAGACAAGCGATCAGCCTCCAGATTCGTAATGCCAGAAACGTGACATGCCAAGATCGCCATGGAATGGTCATGGACCCAGTAAAGAAGATCCAAAGTCTAAAAATAAAGAGATCTGGATTTGGTTTCTTTTTGCTTGGTGATACAGCTGATGACAGTGGAATAGTCAGAATGAACCATAATCACCAGTCCCCTTAGTAGCAGGAGGAAATGATACTGAGCCCGACAAACTTCCAAAAGTTCCAGGATGTTGAAAATGGAGATGAGCATCCTTGATGGACCATCATTCAGAAACCTCTTGGGAATCGAGGAAAGCCCACAACCCACCAAGAAAGCATCAGTAAACAGATGAGACTCCAGACACAGTGGAAGAATGGGAACCCCCACCTTGATCAGTTCACTGTCAAGCCACCAAGACAGGTTGTCCCTTATCCCAGGGGGATCAGTAATGGGATGGTCCAACGGATCTTGAGAGAAGCTTCCACTGAAGAGAATGCATGTGAGCTCGACCCAAGGGAATGAGAGTTTCCAAGGAAGCCCACATCCCCAAAAGAGAGAGAACCCCTCACACAGTGAGAAAGGGAGAAGGTAGGGCCATTGAGACTGCCAAATCCATATCCCCAAGCCAAAGTGGAGAAGGCTGGGCCAAATTAAGATGGGAATTGAAAAACGTCCAGTGGAATAAGATATTGAGTGGGGTTAAGAATGGACTTCTCCAACTGGAACAGAAAATCCCACCCGATTAGCTTCCCAAAGAAGTGAGCAGGCATGACTGATTGACTGAACATGGGGAGAAGCAAGCAGAAGCCAGTCGTCCATAAAAAAGTAGAATCCGATGACTCTACGAGTGAAAATAACAGGCAAGAGAGCATACCACTCCACAAAACACACGGAGCCAAAGAAGGGCAGAAACCTTCAGACAGAAGCCATGAAACTGTTGTGAAGTGTAGCCAAAAATACACATAAACTAAACATACCTAGAGAAATGACTCATTACTAACAAACTAACAAAACCTAGAAATCTCTAGTCTACAAAGTACATAAAAATAATGAACCTGCAAAACTACAAAATTCGACCTAAAATATAAAGCAGTAATCAATACCTCAAGTACAAAACCACTAAAGGAAGTAGAAGATAAATGATATGTAAATATTGAACTTATAAGTCCATTCAAAGAACAGATAAGACAAAGGGAACGAATGTAAAATCTACCCTGAAGAACATGAGAATGAAAAGGCACCCAGTAAACTGTAACATAATTTGACTGAAATCTAATCCCTAGTTAGATGTGACTAGTAGTAAAGAAAAAGCAACTTACAAACTAATTAACATAAACAATGAAAAAAGTACACATAACGAACCAACACACCCACAAAATTGTCCAAAGTTAGAATTACCCAAACAATAACTATCGTGCAAAACCCGGACATATACCGAAAATCAAACAAAAACAAAGTAATAATCAAACTCTAAATGCAAACTTAGGTGGTAAAAGAATTATAAAAATCTAATTTACCAAATACTGAGCAGAGAAAACATGTAAGACCTAAATTATCTCATAAGGAAATTAGGTCAATCCACAAAAGCTAACATAAACTCGCTAAACATGGGTATACCTATTGGGAGTGAGGAATACATGCTGAAAAACTTACCAGAGATCTCCTGAGAAAAAAGAACAATGTCTAACTCAGGAGTTTACATGGAGGCCTGGTAACAGGTGGAAGGTGCTGTAGAAAGAAATTTTCACTCTGTAGCTATATCCTTCCTCACAAAAAATTGTAACATGAAGGGAAAAAATTGTTGACCAATCACAAGACACGACCTCCCTGCAAACTAAAGCCCATACTTCCCCAGCAGACATCATCAACCCTGAAACCAGGGGGTCCCACGTCAGAACCATTGTCAACTGTTGTGGGAATTTTCGCATCCTCCATATTCAATCGCAAATACATATGAACAAATTAGAATTTGGAAACCAGAAATACTTCTAAAACAAACAAGTAGAAACAATGGAAATCAAACACAAGAAATAAGTTGATATAAGTTTGTGATCAATCACAATCAAAATTTTGTTGTCACGTGGAGAGTGAGTACAAACACACATCTACACATTAAAATGCCAATCGAGAAAGTGAGGATTGTTCTATAATAGTAGAGGGAGCTAGCTGCACCAGTATAGATGGTGCAGTATGATTGGTGGAGAGTAGTCACATGATCAGCACAAGTTCTAAAATGGTGCAAAACTGATGGGGGTATAAAGACTGGAGCACTGTAGTAAAATTTTTTTTAGCAATGCTTATAGGGCAGACCAGGATCAAGATAGCTTTGAATGAGCAGAGGTAGTACCATTTCAGTAATCTTTTAATTGTACCCAACATTCAAAACATATTAGGTCACATATAAATTCAGGAGGCTAGTAGTAACTATGCAATAACCAATTTATAAAATGTCTTACGTAGCAGCAGCAGCACACTGTTTCAAAAACATTAAAACCAAAAGTTACTTTAATGTGTTTTTTTAATAAAAAAATTAGTATTTTCGTTTCACCAACCTTGCTCAAATTTCCTTTTCATAACTCTGTCAGGTGTGGTAGAAGATACATTTATGTGTGTTAAAACTGCCAATTCAGAAGACTCTTTGGCTTCATTCATAATATCTGTGGAAAAATTTAAACAGATAACATATCTACTAGTACCACACACATTTCTGTGCAAATGATATACTGTAACTATTTTGCTTAACCTGCAATGTTTTATTTTTGATCTAAATGCACAACCATAGCAATACTTACTAATTTTTCTCATGTAAAATCTGCCACGATATTAAATGATTAATCTAGCAGTATCATTTATCTTTTCTAAAGCTTTTATCTTCTTACTGTAATGGACGTAGTGTACATGCCAGTATCTATGTATGAAACCAAAACTTCTGCACTATCTATTGAATGGCACCACAAACAAAAATCCATAAAAATATTTACACTTTGGGTATTCAAGATTCAGATACTTAGAAAAATAACTGTGGTATGTGCACAATTTTAAATAAAAGTACTCTTCTCACAACAAGAAAACAACTTTCACTAGGACTGTACACGAGGGTTTGATTGTATCTTTATTGATGTAATTTTTAAATGTAATACTGTGAAACTATACAAAAAAAAACTTTTATTTTTTCAATAAACAGTACCAGTTTTAATATATAAAAACATTACAGTTTATATCAGTAAAATTTAGGAAAATTCTGAGCTCTGAATGTTGAATCATTTTGATGCAATGAGTTGTGTACAACTAAAAGAGCACAATTCAACCACTTTTCCCCTACAGTACTTCCCAGAAAAAAAATCCTTTTTTAGAAAATGTACACTTTTTGTAAATTTTTTTCAATGAAGCATGAGTACTATGATTACTAACATATAGGGCAGTGTTTCTGCTGGTAACTACAATGCATACTTCTTTGAACACTGACACAAACCAGTTACCTCACCAATATTTCTCTCGTAACAAAATAAAAAACTGGAATTAAAAAACTTTTAATGATTGTGCATACAGATAATTAAGCATGTTTACCTTTCAACTATCAACCAGTAATTCAGAAGAACACTAATACATTAACATCAATGACTTTTCTTTTTCACATAATGGACAACTTTTTAAATAATAATTTGTATTACTTTTTTATCGATATGAATTATTTACTAATAACTACATTTTTTTTCTTTTACACACTTTTTTTTTCTCAAAATTTCGTATAAGTACTACACTGCATCCTGATTTGTTACTTTTTTAAAATTTAAATAGCTAAATAATTTTAAACATAGAAGAACATTAACCATATATGCATTATGACTGTGCTGTTTTTAGTTAAAATGATAGGTCATACCATTTACATCCTCTGTTATCTTGATATCACTTGGTATTAATGTGGGTAAAACATTATTTTTATTTTCAGTTGAGTCTTTATCCTCATTATTTATTTCAGATGAATGACTTTTGGACAATCCTTGTTTGTTAACAGATGACTCCATTTCTTGCTCATTATAATCCTCTTTAACTGGTAAAGGGATAAGAGTAATATTGTTCATTAGATTTGTATTGTGGAAAAAATCTTTTAACATCTTTTATTCAGAATCTTGTCTTACTGATTGGGGAAAACAATAATACTCTTTACAAGAAACTAAAATCTATCAAACCCACAGTCCTTTGTGCGGTGTTAGATAACAATGATTAATTTGTTTTTGCTCTTTCTACTTCCTCAACTAATAACCTGTATGGAATGAAACATTCTTTTTAAAAAGTATTTTCAATTAAGAATAAAACAGAAAAATATGAAATTATACAACATGAATGCTAATTAAATTGATAAAACAGAGCAATGTTTTTGTTTTTTTTTCAATTCAAAGCTACATCATGAATCACCTGGAAAAGGATAGCAGCTGAAATATTAGGCAAAACTATATGTTCATGAAGATACAAGTTTGTTTTACAATTAATAATTCTCATGATACTTACAAGGTCATCAATTAATTGATAAAGAAGTGGAACATGATTGAAGTAGTAAAACAAAAAAAGCAAGTGCCAAGAATAGTGACCAGTTACAAAAACAGCACTGCTAATGGTTAGTTTTGGCAAACGACACAAAAATAGTGTTAATGCATAACTATGTTATCTGTTCCTGAGGTATGCTGGATTTAACCCTCAAATGACCAACTTTTTTATACCATTACCTGCTGCTGGAGATTACAAGTACTGCTCATACAAAATAACTTTATGTTTTTGTCTATCAAAACACTCAAGGTAAAGAGATGACCAAACAAATTGGGTTAAATCACTCATTTCTTTTGTAAAATACATAGAGAACACTGGTACTTTTGTTTACATTTCTTTGTGTAACTTGCAGGTCATTAAGGACCCTGTAACCTACAAGCATGGACACACAAACAATGAATAAATAGTTTAACCCTCTCCAGATGGTTCATGGGTCAAAGACCATGTCATTGCATTTGTTGATTTGCATTCAAAATTTTATTATTTACTATTTCCTGAATTTATGTCAATAAGTTTGGTATCAAACTGTAGATTATAATTCAAATTTTAGTACTATACATTATTTAATTTCATGATTTAAAAGTAAATATTAAAAAAACACAGTTAAACATCAATTTTTGTGTGTCACGTGGTATGTTGAATGAAGCACTGGTTCAAATTAGATGTTTGTGATGTCAAAATATTAAGTACATAGTTTCATATGAATTAGGAACTCAAATTACTGATATTGACAAGCTAGAATATAAAATAACAACTTCTTATCTTTTCTATTTGCCGAGATATCATTCATGTACTGAAGCAAATACAGCCCACCTCTTTCCATTTTTGGAAATAGTCCCTTATATACACTTACTTCAATATATGACATGTGAATAACCAATCAAAACTCAGAATATCCCCCGAGTGGCTTTCTCAGCCATTTTCATGTGTTAGCAGTCATCTTGTTGTTTTGGACCAATATTTAAAGTAGGTAGGCTGTGTCTTTAGTCTGCTCAAAATTTCATATTTTTTTAGACCCAAACACAGTTTAGTTACTAAGCTTAATACATTATAGTGGAATTCTATAGTATCAATATAGTAATTTATGATTTTTTTGTTAGTCAACTGTATATACAAAACCTAAAAAATTCTTTCATTTCCTATCTTCCAAGTGCAAAATTTTAAAAGGCTTAGCAACCTACATCAAGCAGCAACTTAGCACAAAAGTAATAAATAGAAGAGATAATTGTTTGTTTTACTTCTTTATTTACTGTTCTATGTTTTAAGAAAAATAAGTTTAGAAACTTATTTCTAAATAGTAATAATCTATATACATATATAATGTATAATAATGGAAACGTGACTGTATTTCACAAAATACTAGTCTACTAAAACACAGCCAAAATAGATCACTTTGTAAAGACTAAAGGTCATTTTTACATTATTGGATACGGTAACATGAGGGCATGTGTGCCATATCATTGTAACTTCTGTATTGTTTGCTAGGCATGGCTGAAGGGTCAATATAATAAAAATAATAAATATATATAAATGTATAATGTTATGAGATTTAAGCTATTTAGTCTAAACATTTATGTTTTCAATTTGTTGTCATTCTAGAACGAAAGAGGCATAATTTATATTTATTTCCCAATTTTTTATGATGGTTACTAGATCAGTCAAATCTATTGAACCTGTACAGAGATTTGTTAGTGCAAATAACAGATAAAATATAAAGTTTTTTTCTTAAGAAATGTTTCATAACTATCTGGACATTATAGGGTTTTTGCATGTGAAATTTGAAATTTTTCTGATGCATAAAAGTATTTTTAATCTTAAAATGAAAATTACTTTGCATGTTGGATAGGCAACATAGTGAAAAAAAAAAAAGGACACGAGAAAAACATTGCTTAACAAACCTTAAGACTTAATAAAAAAATTTGATATTTTGCAGATGAAGGCATTGTCATATTTACTGATAATCTGCCAAATTTTGTTTACATATGCTTACTAATTTAAAAGTTATAGCATGAAAACTATAACAAGCACAAAATGGTTACGAGGTCAGTCTCAGGGACCAAGCCCATGCTGAAAGAGTTAAGAAATATGTGGTTAAAAAGCCAATAGGGTCCTATATGGATTCCACTGATAATTCTAGAGTTAATTATAGGAAAATATAAATCTAGGCCTCAGCTGTAAGTCTGCGAACTTATATCACTGAAAACCAGGTTTTAACACCCATATCAGACAAAGCACAAATAGTCCATTATGCAGCTTTGTGCTAAAATATAAACAAACAAACTAGGACTCTTTAAATGCATGATGTTATATGTATTGTAGTTTTATTTTATAACTATTCATTATTGTTATGATAAACACTATTTCAGCTATGTCTTTTCCAAAAATCCCACAGTGTAGAGAAATAGGTTGTGAAGCAAAAGCACAGAAAATTATAATTTCCTTAAACAGCTATAGAACATAGACTCAATAATCTAATAAATGAATAAATAAACAGAACAACACTGCTGAGTTATGACCTGTTTAAGCATATAACTGAACAGAATTTATGAAATACATCTGTTCTACCTGCTTCACTGCTGATTTTAGTTTCATTCTTAGGCTTAAGATATTTTTTGGTATTGTCATCAGCTGCTGAAATATCTGAAAAAGGAAAATATAAGATATGTTGTTTAATAGTTATACACAATCAGTAAGCAACATAAAAAAATCATAATGTTATAGATTCATTTTGCATTTTAGTTTACATTGATATGAATTGTATCAACAATTCTTTTATAAAATACACTATTTTTCTTGAAATCTAATCATCTTGTCACACCAGTACAAAATTATAGGCATCAAACAACATCATTGTACTTAATCATATAAACAATAAACATTTCAAAAAAGAAATAGTGATCACTTATTACTTCTTACAGATTCTAAACACAAAAATCCTTTTTTGTGCAAAAGGTTAAACAAAAATAGGCAGATTCTTCTAAATAAGCCAGTAAAAAATATAAAAACATTAAAAAAGTTGAGACTGAAATACTAAAAGCTGTCTCATAATACTTACTATTATGTACTGGCTTTACAAATAATTTATTTCAAGTTAAGATCCTATTTATGAACTTAATAAGCAACATGGAATTAAAAACTTATTTGACCAATGAAGAAACAAAGGTTAACTGGGCACAACTACCTAGTTCAGTGTAACACTCCTAGAGAGTCTTGGAGAACTATTCTTCAAAAACAGTACAGATAGAAAGGATGGCATTTCATATTTTGTCTTCATGTCAGCTTGCACCGATGTTTGTAAGGGTTTATATACTATACTGGAAGACTAAGGTGAATGTGACATAATTTGTTGGTAGTTTTTGTAACATACTTGGTGGAATGAGTGATGATTTGACCAATGGTAGCTGCAAACTTCTAATTTCCAGACCAAAGTCTCTCTTTATTGATGGTTTCATCATACTGATGTATAAAGATTCTTTGATTTTTTTTGTTTTGTGGAATTTACCTGAGTCAATTTGTCTGTAACTGTCCCAGTCTGTTTTATGTCCAGTTAATATGGCAGGTTCTGTTTCAAAGTGTCTTCCAGTTTTGCCGATGTAGGTCTGTTTAAAGGAACATGGTATTTCATAAATGGTGTTTTTGTGTTTGTTGTCGGTTGTTCTTTGTTTAATTTTAACAAGGATAGACCTGAGTGTTTTTTAAGGTTTCCAGCAGACACCAATGTTAACTGTTTGGCTACACATTTGAACTTCTCACTTAGGTTTCGCACATATGGGAGAATAGTGTTGGTCTTGTTATTTTGTCTGTGGTATCACTTTGTATTTTCAAGCTATTGGTGGTGAAACTACAAGGATACTCTGTTTAAAATACTGTATGATGTGTCACCGTTCAGTTATGATAGAATTTTCATTGCACATATTTCTGCTATGTTATTCAAGCACTTAATAGCATTATATTAAAATGAAAGAGGATGATAGTATCTGTCAAAATGAGTAGATTTCCTATATATAGTTGTGGTGAGTCTCATTCTGTCTACTGATGAATTTATTAAGAAATGGCAGGCTGGTGTTTTTCTCTACTTCCACGATGAAGTGGATCCTGTTTGCTATGGAGTTAAGATATTGTAAGAAGGCTAGTAAAATTTCACGACTGTGGGGCCAGACAAAAAAATTGTCATCAGTGAAGCACCTGTAAAAACTGGGTTTTTGTCAGTAAAAAAGATGAATCTTTGTCTACTAAAAGTGGAGAGACTGTTTATCCTATGACAAGACCATCCATGTGTTCAAAGAAATCACTGTTATATTGTCTATGGCCATACATACAATTAATACTTGTTCTCTAAACTTAATTAGTATATGAATGTTAACAGTAGCCTAACTTAAAGTAGTTATACTTTGCATTATTTACGGAATCTTTATTCTAATTTACTAACATTTTCAACTAAATTTCAATTAATTCCGATGACATTCCTAGCATATAAATTTATGTTAATTCTTTTTTCAACTAATTATTACAATTTTCATTAGGCTAAGCACTGACATTTCAGAAAACTCCTGGCTCTATGTCAAATAACTACAATAACAAAACCAATCAGCCAGTACTATAACATATAATTATAAGTAGTGATATTAATGCAAATGTTTATTTAAAGAAGAATACAGTTTACAAAACATGCACAATAAATCATTCAACAATTCTATGTAAATACCTTTGTCATCTATCATGAGAGTGTTGCAGTTGTCTATTGGTATGTCTTCTTGCACAGGAACAGGGAGAGTCTGCAGCTTTTCTGTTTGATAACCATTTAATTCTCCAGTTTTATTTGTAAATTCTGGTTTTAAAGATGATTTCTTTCCTTTGGTATTTGACTTCTTTGTTTGGAAAGATATTATTTGAGTAAACTTGTTAAATAAAAAGGCTCATGTATTTAGTGTTACACATAAATCCCTTAACATGACAATATTAGTTGGCTTTTAATATTAACTTACTTTAAACTCAAATTTAACAAATATATTGACAGTCTAATGACACTTTGTACATCATAAAAACGTCTTACAACTTCATCCTTATTGTCGTTTTGTAATTCTTCAATATTACTTTTTGAGGCTTTTTTGCTACTCCCTTGAAACAAAACAAAATTTTCTCTGACTTACTTTGCTTACATCATAACTGAAGCAATTAACCATCAGTTATAATAGATTTCAAATGAATTCTGATCACAGCATAAATTTTCATCTGGTTAGAACACTTTCAAAGCATCTTAAACATTATTAAGAAGGTATATGGAATATTGCTAATATTCCTCATTTACACAAAATAGCAGCTCATGTGATTATTAGTAAATTGCTCTAAAATATTTTTTCCCAACTGCATGAAATAAAAGGTTAACAAGGATATGTTATTTTTAAGCATAGAAAGATCTGATGATGCAATGGAAGTGTTGAATTTTGTGTAGAAAAAAAGAAAAAGGTCTAGAATCATTACACTTAAATTATCATTAGCTTAGAACTTCATTTCTACATCATAATTTTTTTGTTTTCATTAATACACTGACAATACTAAATTATTTTTTTCATTAGCAGTATGTGTTAAGAGTATTTATTCTTGGTAGATGTTACAATGGAAAAAATTAACTTTTTTAAAGTTTCAATCAGTATGGATAGGATTAGCTGTACTGTTAGTTGACAATGTAAAATATTCTCTAAACATTCAATTTTCTGAATCTTTGTGTAGTTTTCTAGCTTTTGTCAGCCATCCTGCGTAACATTTATATTTTAACACATATCTACCGACTGCTCTGTTTCACCTCGTACTTTTTCCAATATTTGTTACTAACTGCATGTATAACCAATAAAATCTATGCATTGTAATGTTGATTACTTGTGACAGTTGAAAAATAAAACAATTTCATAAATGTACTTGACTAATTATCTGAACTAGTCTAAACTCCTAATAATATTCAATAATATGATGTAAGAAGGTAATTAAATACACTGTTTTCAACATACAAGTTCAGTTTTGTTTGACATAGCACCAATTCATCATTCCAATGAAAGGAGTCATAAAATTATTTAAAAAAACAACAATACCTTTGTGACACTAAATTTTGCACAGAACCTGTTTTCTTTAGGTTTCTTCAAAATCTGGCAAATTTTGTTTTCTGTTGGAGAACATTTCTTTTTCTTCTTTTTAGGTGACCCTGATAATACATCAGAAGTTTCTGGAGCAAGAGTTTCAAAAAATGTGAGTTCAGAAGAAGATGAATGTTGGGAAGGATCCAGGACTGGGGCAGAGGTTTCTGGAACTGATTCTGATAAAAGGTCTCCAAACAATGTTGGAGAAATATCCAAAGTTTTTGATTTTAATGTCATGAAACGCTTTTTTCTTGGGCGTCCTGGTCGTCTTTTCACAGGAGTATTGTCTGGTTCTCTGAAAAACATTTAGTATTTCAATTACAACTAAAAACATTAAAAATACTTAAAGTATATGAATATATTACCGGTTCTAATAAGATAAATTGAAAAGTTTAATTACTTTAATTTTTTTTAATTTCCTTATGTAGAAAAAAAGTTGAAAAAAT